AACACGTTGAAAGATGGTACTGGCACTCGTCAATAAGAGAATGAATCACGGTGGCTGACTCGGAGCGAATGTCTCTTAATTGGGACGGTATGGTATTCCAGTGGACTGGCACTATAAAACCGACAAAAGTCCGAATTAGTACAAGCAGCGACACACACATGCATGCACGTCGCTATATAAGTGAAATAATCTTGATAGCGACGCTAAGCCCATTTCACCTCAAATATAAATTTGATGTATGTGTGTTATGTTATAGCATAATTCTAGTACTTGTCCCGGGAGACCCGTGAAGATCCGGGATAGAATAGGTCTTCAGCAACCAATCCTCGCCGTAAAAGGCGACTACGCTTGTCGGGATTGCGCGACTAACGGGATTGGGTGGTCAGGCTCGCTGACTTGGTTGATGCATGGCATCAATCCCAATTGCGTGGATCGATGCTTATAATATTAATCACTGGATTGTCTGGTCCAGACTCTATTATTTACAGACCGCCGCCATATGGCTGGAATATCTCTAAGTGCGGCGTAACCGACAAACCGTAACAACAAACGGACCAACCAACCAACATGTCATGGGCGTAAGATCGTTTTACTGTTATAAATGAAATGTGTGCATTGTATGTTATATTTTTGGTGAAAGGTTTATTAAGAGTTGTTTTATTGTATATGAAAAGGGTGTTACAAGTTTTTCATCAGTAGATAAGCAACAACACGAACTGGATCACCATGGCCAATATGGCAGGTCAGTTGACAAACTATGTCATGATAAGGTAAAATGTTCGTCACGTGCTCGCGGAACTAGTTTAGTGGTGTGTGATGTATAAATAGTTTGTTTCACAATCCGGAATACTCGAGCCGACAGACATGGACGCCCGACCTCTCGTGTTGCTGCTACATGTGGTGTGTTCCGATGTCATCGTCTACTCGGCACCCCCTGGACTTGCTCCTTCAGACAAGTTCTCGATCAACGTCACGCAGACCGGACAAGAACCCAACAGACTGTTTGTATACATCAGCACCTCCGACCACCGTAGCAGTCCACCTCGCGAAGCCCCAGGGAGGAGCATGTCATGGACGTCCTTCGGCTTCACCGGCGCTCCCGTCACCGTCGAGGTCCACGCCCCTAAAGACTTCCACAACTGCCTTGTTAGACCCTCCAGCTATGGCTATCAGTGCAAGAGGACAAGCCCAAACACAACATCGTTCACTGTTCTCCATAATACCCGGATGATGTCTGTATAGTTTGACTACGACTACGGCCTTGGTGTCCGGGAAATCACCGACAACTCTTCGTCTTCGCCGACCCTCCAGAAGTCGATGTTCCATCCCCGTCTGACCCCGATGTCTTGTATTATGGGCCAGGGATCCACAACTTCTCAACATCATTGACAGTTGGTCCAGAGATCCGTCAGGTGTATATCGCCCCCGGGGCGTACATCAGGGGAGGGTTTCAACTGCCGCAAGGCGACGTCAGAATGCACGGCCGTGGCGTCATCTCTGACGAGAACTTTGTCCGTCACGATGAAAGAATAGGCCAATGTACTGAGAACTTCATGACCTCGTCCAGAAACGTTTACGAAAGGTGTAACGATCGCCGACCCGGCTAAATTCTTCTTCCTAGCCAATGGTAACGACAACGTTGTCCGCAACGTGCGCATGGTCGCGGCATGGATGGGCAATACGGATGGTATCGGGGTTGGGGTTGGTGGACTGGTGGAGGACAGCTTCATTATAGCAGATGATGCTAACATTAAGGTACAGCAATAAAAAAATAAGTAGGAGTAATCTTAAGGCACGACCATTTCATATTTCGGTGGGTAATTTTTGTAAAAGACTGTCGACTGTCACTGCTCCATTATGTCTGTGAGAAGCCGGGGGCACGGGTGGCCCAGTCGTCTAAGGCGCCGCGATTCGCTGTGCAGAGTTGCGTCCCTTGGGCACGCCAGAAACCTATGATTGTGGGTTCGAATCCCGGTTCGCCCCGATTATGTTTCTAGGTTTGTCAGCACCATACCCGTGCTCGTGGGTTTCACCGAAGTGGTAAACGTCTGAGACCTGCATCACTTCGGGCTTTCCTCCCACCTTAAGCTGAGACGCCGTGATATAACTGGAATACAGTTAAAAGCGGCGTTAAACCCAACTCACTCACTCACTGTGTGAGAAGCCATTTTTATCAGGACATCTAGAACAATTTCTTCTCGTTGTAGGTATTCTCTAAAACAAATTATTTCATTTTCGCTATTGCTGACCGTAATAAAAAAAATTAACCATAGACAGGATATGTTTTTTTCCGAAAGAACAATTAGAATGTCAAGCGAATAATTTCTATTTATTTATTTTTTATGTAAAATGTGAGGCCTGTATTTACTCGAATATAATTTTCAGATCCATATGAGCAATATGACGGTACGACGTTGCGTGCAGTGGCAGATACAGAACGGAGGCACGCTTCAGACAGGATGGAAGACGTTGACTGTTCGCAACGTCAGCATGGTCGACATGGACATCATCCACACCGACTGGTGCAAGTTCAAAAACGTGTGTAAAAGTATATCAGGAAACGACGCCGTCTTTGACACGTTTGGTAATGCTCGCCATTTTGACGTTAGCGACATGCGGTTTGAAAACATTCGGGTGGAAGGATCATGTCCAAGAATTGTCAATTACGACATGGATCCGGCAGCGGAGGGGACCATCTCAAACATTACAGTAATCAATTTGTCAGTGGAGTCTCAACCTACCCACGACCCGATCCATAACGTTATCTCCGGTACATCTCGTGGGGGACGTATACTTGACTGGCAGTTTGTGAACTTGACGATCGGTGGCCAATGCATCACTAACGGATCTGTGGGTGATTTTATCATTGACCCAAAGACCACGAGAAACATCACCTTTACGTGTGAATGAGAGTTGTACGGATAGTTAGGAATCCTGTTTTAAATCAATGGTCAATGGTCTGTTATAAATCACCGATATGCTTTTCACGACGTTCAAAGTGAAAGTCTCTCAACAGATTCATATACAGTAAAATACGGTTATAACGAACTCAAAGGGACCACTAATATTTGTTCGTTATAACCGTAGTCCGTTGTAAGCATACATACAGCATATACATGTATACGGTCGGGACAAAATATAAGTTCGTTACTTCAGCCAGTTTGTTACAGGCGTGTTCGATTTAAATATATAAATCGTAGTAAGTCGATGTTCCATTCTCCTCTGACGAGGCGTCACCTCCAACGCAAAGATTTAAGTCATAATGAGCGAATCTGCTGTGCTGCTGCAACATTCGTCATGGACTCCCCCACAACTTATATACGAAGGCGGCACCACCCGGTCCAATTCTTCTACAGGACAACGGTCAAGACAATAATAGCCACAGCGTCCACGTGGTGGCGACAGTGGATGGGAAACACTGACGGCATGGGTATCGGTTGTCGTTGACTGGTGGAGAGCTGCTTCAGCACAGCGGTCAAGACAATAGTAGCCACAACGTCCCCGTGGTAGCGACAGTGGATGGGAAACACTGACGGCATGGGCATCGGTGGTCGTTGACCGGTGGAGAGCTGCTTCAGGACAGCGGTCAAGACAATAGTAGCCACAACGTCCCCGTGGTAGCAACAGTGGATGGGAAACACTGACGGCATGGGCATCGGTGGTCGTTGACCGGTGGAGAGCTGCTTCAGCACAGCGGTCAAGACAATAGTAGCCACAACGTCCCCGTGGTAGCGACAGTGGATGGGAAACACTGACGGCATGGGCATCGGTGGTCGTTGACCGGTGGAGAGCTGCTTCAGCACAGCGGTCAAGACAATAGTAGCCACAACGTCCCCGTGGTAGCGACAGTGGATGGGAAACACTGAAGGCATGGGCATCGGTGGTCGTTGACCGGTGGAGAGCTGCTTCAGCACAGCGGTCAAGACAATAATAGCCACAACGTCCCCGTGGTAGCGACAGTGGATGGGAAACACTGACGGCATGGGCATCGGTGGTCGTTGACCGGTGGAGAGCTGCTTCAGCACAGCGGTCAAGACAATAATAGCCACAACGTCCCCGTGGTAGCGACAGTGGATGGGAAACACTGACGGCATGGGCATCGGTGGTCGTTGACCGGTGGAGAGCTGCTTCAGCACAGCGGTCAAGACAATAGTAGCCACAACGTCCCCGTGGTAGCGACAGTGGATGGGAAACACTGAAGGCATGGGTATCGGTGGTCGTTGACTGGTGGAGAGCTGCTTCAGCACTGCGGTGAAGACAATAATAGCCACAACGTCCCCGTGGATTGGAAACACTGAAGGCATGGGTATCGGTTGTCGTTGACTGGTGGAGAGCTGCTTCAGCACAGCGGTCAAGACAATAATAGCCACAGCGTCCACGTGGTGGCGACAGTGGATGGGAAACACTGACGGCATGGGTATCGGTGGTCGTTGACTGGTGGAGAGCTGCTTCAGCACAGCGGTCAAGACAATAGTAGCCACAACGTCCCCGTGGTAGCGGCGTGGATGGGAAACAATGACGGCATGGGAATCGGTGGTCGTTGACTGGTGGAGAGCTGCTTCAGCACAGCGGTCAAGACAATAATAGCCACAACGTCCCGTGGTAGCGGCGTGGATGGGAAACACTGACGGCATGGGCATCGGTGGTCGTTGGCTGGTGGAGAGCTGCTTCAGCATAGACGTTATGAACTTTTACCCCGGATAGTTGATGTTAAATTGCCTCTGCATATCTGTATTCATCTAATAAGTCCATGTTAAGTCCAGAACGTATTCGCGCTTCGTCTATGAAATCTACATACATGTAGCATAATATACTAGCAGTTGACCTGTGAATGTGGGAACAAATAATTGGGGACTTCATCAACTTCGTCACACTCGCCGCACACAACACAATATATGTCATTATTGTACCACACAGTACAGATACAAGACGGCAATAAATTGTGTTATAAACTGTTTGACTATAAACGTTCGAGGATATAAAAAAGCATATAAAAACGGTGATTATTAAAACATTTTATTAGTTCCTTTTGTTTGCATGAAGTACAATTTTACTCTAAGGTACATATATATATATATTTGCAAATCATAAAATAGGTGATATACGGCATACAGAAGATACTTATTACTAAGTATAAACCAGTAAAAGCTATTTAGCTAGCTAGTGATTGATTGATTTAGCACCAGGTAAAATAGGATTAAATCGTAGTATTTCAACACTAATATTTCCACTATTGTCTTTGTAAAGTTGTGTTCGGAGATGTATGGAGGTTCCAAATGTATGGAAACCGAAAGATTTTTCTTAATATGTTTAAACAACGTTTGAAAGACAATTTTCAGCAGATCTGGCATAGCGAACTTCTTGCAAGTTCATAAATGGCATATTATGCTGGTTTTAAAACTTATGTTAAATGTGAACCTTATTTGTCATTCTTAATTCGCAAAATATGAAAACAACCCTCACGAGATTCAGACTGAGTTGTCATACTTTGGAAATTGAGAATGGACGTCATTATAAAATCCCAAGAAATTTAAGAAAATGCAAACTTTGTAAATTAGACTGTGTTGAAACCGAGTACCACTTCCTGCTTATTTGTCCATCGCATGTCAAGTTACGGCAACTTTATCTCAAAGCAAAGATCTGTTGTCATCCTAACGTTCATAAATTTAATATGCTTCTGAAATCACCAGATACATACATTACTACAAATCTAGCAAAATATCTATATTATGCAAATGAAGTAAGAAATACGAAACTGAATGTTTAAAACCCTTCTGTACTCAACTTTTGTACACAAAGGCCTGCGGCCTATATGAATTGGAAATAAAATTATTCATTGAGTATTTCAACACACTACATACCCCTCATTTCCAAAAGTCAAATATACGTAAATTCATATTAAAATCAATCCAAACTGCGCGAGACCCCACCTTTCAGACGATTAGGCTTACGTTGATTGATAAGTTCCAAGCCTTGCACGTTCCTCAAGTTTGTCCATTTTCCAAAGGTCCAGATATCTGCTTATTTTACTGGCTTATCACAGCGAAAGAATTTGCTCAGTTGACTAAAGATTTGGCGGCATACCTCTATGACATCCACAACAAATGATTACACTATCACGCTATTCCCGCTATGATGGCTCAATCAGCCCCGGTAGGTGTCTTTACAAAAGTTTGATTCACGGAGACGCCGATAATAGGATAATTCCAAATCCATGTGGTTCTGTATTATAATAGTGTAAGATATGGTGCTGTTATTGATCATCATGAAAAGACAATCAATTTAAAATGCCGGGCAAAAGGAAGTATACACTTGAAAATTGGATTTGGATTTTTTAACTCAAGGTCTAAAACACAACTGTAATGTCAAAATCAAATACGTCACCATCGAATAACCGTTTCTCGTTTTTTTCATTTTTAGCCACCATCAGACATGAGTGTAAACTTTCTTTTACCCGAGAGTTTATTCCCTGCACAGCTTTCAACCAATACGGTAAAACACACAATTGTCAGAGCTGTTGTATCGACCAGGTTTGATTTGAATTATGGTCAATGATTTGAGAAATTATATTTTTTTTATCTTTGAGATTTGTAATTGTTACCATAAAACCATATCCACAGGGGATGAGTGTTGCGACAGATTGACAATTGCAGTGGTAGTTCATTCAGATTAGATATTGTCTCTTCAAAGAAAATGTCTTTGGGTAAAAAACAACATTAATTGTGAATACATATCAGCATTTGTTTATTATGAATCTACCAGAAAAGATAATGTATAACTGTTTCGATGTAAACTATTGATGTTTTAACTAAACATTGATGTATCGTCATCAGGTAATAACCAATCGAATTGCATCGATTGTCTTAGCAATCGTTACACCATAACTACTGAGAAGATAGAACAGTTACAACTGAGAGAACAGTCATCAATACTCTATGTACATACCTTATATCATATGTTGGTAATTAGAAGCCAGTGGATTAAACATACATTGCAGAATCGACACATTGATAAATTATGCAAGCGAGATATATTATGCACTCTACAAACGAAGATACTTCAACGAATTCATTTACGGTAATAAGGGACAGTCAAAGGTTATTTATAGCCAAGGATCCTTTGTACATGTATGTTCACAGTGCTGTTGTCATGTGTACCAAAGACATTGACATTTATGAAATTTTAGGTCGCCTTATTGTAGATTAGATACCTCTGAACATTACTGGCGCTTTAGCGCTAGGTTTCAAATATTTCAAAACAAAGTAGGTAAAGTTCCATTCTACCATGGCAAAATTTAACGAGAACTCTTTGGTGCTTAGGAAGACACTGAGTGAAGGGGCATTGGTTGAGTCCACTGTTTTGAGTGGGATTTTAATATGAATTCAGGAAACACTGATAACTGCCTATTAACAAATTATGGACGTGAGGAAACACCGATAGGAGCCTATAAACAATTTATGGGTGTCTGTGTTGTACACATTCAGCCAGACATTGAAAATGTGTAGCACAGCTGCTTCATACGCCAAAATAAAGTAGGCACCCAAAACGAAAATGAAGCAAGCTCGCAAGGTTTAGCTCTGCACCAGCGTCACTATTATTTTCTGCCCGAAATCTATTGTCGCACATACTTAAATACTGAAGTAACCGTACAGGTCTGTCACTGATAATTGTACATGTCATTATTTAAAAGTACCTACCGACAAGAACTGAGAAAGAAGTACTTCGACGGTGATGCGGCCGTCAAAACGGCTGTTTCAATCAGAGGTGGTTACTGTGATTTGATACCTTAAATTGACCAATCAGAATCGAGTAATCTGCAAACTGGTGTTAGAATGTTAAATTGCTTAAAAGTAATCAGTTATACAGTACGCGTCAGAAAAATGTGGGAGGAAAGCCTGGAGTGACGCAGGTCATATGTGTCTGAATACCACTTTCGTGAATCACATCAAGTGACCAACGAAAAATCATCGAGAATAACGAAACACAGGGCTGTTCATTAACCCTTGGGAATTACGTAGTTTACCTGTGATGGATACCGATAGCACATGCTGATTACATAGCATTACAAAGGAAAGACACCCTCTCCACCATTGTATGTTAAACATACGGCCGATTATTTATTTCTCTTCGCTCTTGAAAACAACGCCCCGGCATTTCGTAACCATGAAGGTCTTCGTTTTGACTTAATAACTGAAATGAGAGAAAAAATAAAATAAGGATTAGAAAATATTGATGACAGTTTTTGTGTATTATGTGAATGATTCCTAAAAGAAGAATACGTTATGTGTATTTCATATGAGAAAATAAATCTCAAGTATGACATGTATGACCCACCAAGCGTGAACACATTGAGATAAATGGGGACTCCCAACATGGCAGCCGGCAAAAATAGAATAGAAAAGATTCCGTCCCCACACATTAAATATGGAGCACAAAGAAGGAACAGTTTACAGGATAACGATTTCATTGTATCACGTTCCACTCTAGATATGAATCAAAATATCAGGTGTTTTTTTTTTTAATTTCGAGAATCTGCCAATAGGTGACGTCAATAAATGAGGGCTTGAGTGCTGAGCTTTAATTCAAACATAGTTTAGGGTTGTAAAACAACCTTTACGAAAAGGTTCTCCTTCTCCTTTGTTTTACTGACCATATTATAATGCAAATTTAATTTTACTACCTTAATATTTACGACGAATTTTCACTTATTCGACACCGAAACACTCTAAAGGGCATTTTAGAAGCATCGTATTACTGGGAGATAATACACAAATATATAGGTCATGAAAAAAGTGAGTTTCCAAAGTGTGACGGTAGTATTATTGTGAACAGAGGCATATTTATGATTATTCAATATTAGATGTATTGTGAAAAATCATTATTTCAAATTTCAGAAAAATGCCCTGACAACGTATCAGCGAGTTGGTTCAACCTACCTCTACGGTCAAAAGTGTGACTTTCCCTCAAACCTCTCTCAGCCTCATTTTGATATTCTTCCTGAAGAGTGAACATGTTCGGCTGAGATGGCCCTACGCCACTTGCTCTGGGGTCCGGGGGTGGCCACATAACAGATGGATCAGTTACAGTGTCCAATGGTTCCGGGAAGCTGCCACGAAAATTGGGCGGGTTTTGGTTCACATCCGGGGAACTTACTGACGGAGCAAACGTGGCCACACCGGGATAGCCAGAGGACGGTTGATCAACGTATTTGCCTCTATCACTGACTTTGGAGCTGACGGTGTACACGTCGTCGGTGAAGTAATAATGTTGTGGTGGCTGATGGCTGATGGGGTGAATGTTGTCGTTAGAGACGGGATGCGGGACGCTACTTGTGATGTACACTGCCTCATCACGCTCTATCGGCGGAGTGTATACCCTGTGAGGAGCTTTGGTGTGATGTCCTGACACGACTGGAAGGAGTCGCTCTGGTAAATACCTGTAAGAACAAAACATATAGGAGACTGATTAGGAGTTTAGGTCACTGTTAGCCTCATAACAGGTGGGGGCACTAAAGGGGCTCCACACATTGAACCTCATCGGTTATCCAGTGTATTATATTCTATCATGGTCAATACCTCAGAAGGAAGCTAAGATGGCGATGTGTCGGGGGTATATATCATAATAAAATGGAGATATGATACACTGGGTAACCGCGGATGATTATCGACCCCAGTTATGTTATTCGGTGTGATATTTAGTGCGTCAGCATATTATTCATTTCTACAAAAGAATTATTATGGGCGCTGGGGTAGCCTAGTAGTTAAAGCGTTCGCTCGTCACGCCGAAAACCGGGTTCGATTCCCCACATGTACAATGTGTAAAGCCCGTATCTGGTCTCGCCCGCCGTGATGTTGCTTGAATATTGCTATAAAAAACACACACACTTACACACATAAGAATTATACTCATTAACAAGGCTTATTATCAAAGCAACAAAGATGTATTCATGTGTGGTAAGATTAAATCATAAAAAAAAGAAGTTATATGGCCAAACAAACAAGGCAGATACATTAACAATATATTTTACACTACGTGTACTTACTTTATAGGATCCCCACCAAAGGAAAGGGTGTGAAGATTCTGGGAGACAAAGTGATTTGCTGTTTTAGCAGGCAATATCTCAGACATTTCACAACCACTAGTGAGTTGTACTCAGTATCATCATCATCATCATCATCATCATCGTCATCATTTTATATTTGCTGCATCTTAATGCAAATGCAGTTCAAATATTAACTTTATAAATTACATATTTTGAAACCTCTGGTCTCCTTTAAATGTATGTTAGCTGTAAACTGTAAACTAAATGGTTGTTTGAACCCTTATCAAAACAAACAACATATGTAGGACATGATCGATAGTTTCTGCCGAAAACAAGTTTACAATCAATCTTGCAGTGGGGAAGTTGACAAAATGGGAGATTTTATGAGTGTTTCGTGTACCTTGGTTATTGCTTGTCGTTATACCCCTGACGTCATTAAGTTTTGTTTGTTCGTAGTTTAACGCCGCACTCAGCAGTATTCCAGCTATATGACGGTGGTCCATAATTAGGTGTTTTACGTTTCCAATAATTAATTATTTTCGCAAAGAAGAGCTGGCCTTTATGAAATGTTTAATTATCCATAGAAGTGAGTTAGTGAGCTTTGATGACGTTTTTATCACACATCGTCTTTAGTAGGGCGAGAAAAACAATCGCTTATTTTAACACATAGTAATTATTATCTTTTTACTACCAAGCAACCCCATTTTTGAAAAGTCGTTTGTCTCAGAACTTCTTGAGGGATGTTTGAAAGTGAAAGAAATTAACATCGTTATTATTCCCATATCTTCAGATTCCTGATCTATAATAAATAATGCGGAGTGGAAGTCGTCCGAGTACAATAATACACTAATCCAGCCAGGCGATTACAGTTAATATACATTCGTCACTTACTGGCTCACTCCCCTTTCCAGAAATCGATGCGGCCTGCATAGTACCTCTGCCACAGGCCAGCGCCATGCGACGATTCGTCACACCTTACATAGTACATTCAAAATAATGCATATGATTTAAATATGTTTCATTTTTGACGTGTGTACTCATTTAGATAAACATATGTCATGGGATGGTTTACTTTTATTGTAGAAAATACCCTAAAACGTGAAAAACTATTTCCTTTGCGTAGTTATCCTTTGTTTACATTGGTTGTACGGCTCCACGTGCTGTCATCGAAGCCCAACGGAGAGCTGGCTATACGACCACGTTAATGCATACAGAGATATATTGTCATGCACCTCACTGTCGCAGTTGTAGTAGCATATCTATATAATTATACTGAAAGATGTAAAGCTCTCCGAAAGACTTGCATGAGGCCAGTCTGTTTTGATTTCAGAATAATCGCGTTTGTTTACGAACAAGAGAAAGTCCGGTCACGTGATATGCAAATTAGCCTGTAGCAGTGGTGTGATGCTAAGTCACCACTGGGCCGAAATGTGCTAGTGGGTCTACTCAGTTCACTCGGATCCACTCGGCCTATTCCGCGACCTGGTGACAAGGTTGACCCAGTCGTCAATTTCTGTCCGTTAGGTGCGCCAGAATCCTGTGATTAGGGTGTCGAATCACACAACCGACCCGAATATAATTCGTGGTTGTCAGCACCGTTACTCGCGCTCGTGGGCAGCACCGTTATTCGCGCTCGTGTGTTTCATGTGGTTAAACCTGCATCATTTCGAGCTTTCATCCTCTATTAAGCTGACTCGTCGTGATATACCTGAATATAACTATTGCGCAATCTACATCACACCCAGGAACTGTTTGAGTAGTGATTTCACATAATCTCACTGATCACCGCCAGATGAGGCCGCATGTAGTTCATGTCAAATGTAGTCTTACAAGGAATCATGTTTATACTTTGATTATGAGAAAAAGAACAAATTAAAACATATTCAACATTTACAGCGCGTCATTATCAATGAATGGTTGTCAAATACGACAGCCACGTGAATGGAACTACTTTCAAGATGGTTTCCTCTAATCGCAGGCCGAGCACCCTTTGCCCATCCGACATCCATGTAGTTAAGTCTTCCGAGAAACTAGTCGACCTCTTCCACAAAGCGATCTTAGCACTACACGTGTCCTAATAGTCTCGGTTTCCGTGTGGAAGTCCGACAAACCCTGGCGCTAAGATCGCAATGCGAAAGTCTCAGTGCCCTACTATAACTTAGCAAGCCTGTTTAGTAAAAGCTGTTATTGAATGGTACAAAAGACAAAAAACACCATTCTTAAAAATTGTTTTCAGGTATATGTACGCTGTTGACATGTTAGACAGACTTTCATACACGTGTGTCTTCAAGCAAAAGCGTGCAACTTAATTTAAGAAGATAATGACCTCCGCTTTTCAGCTGAAGGAGCTAGGTAAGTGTGACTGTGCAGTAAAGCGCTTGGATATACATGAACATGCAATAAAAAGCAACAAAAAACATGAACGGATGTTAAATCAATTAGTTTTATTGAAGCGAGTAAGTGAGGCATACATAAATGCAAAGTCTATAAATTAAATATAATACACTGATGGGCTACTAGAAAATAAATATATGTGCAATAATAAAAACATAAATACACATAATGCTAGGTGGTAACACAAGCTGACTACCGCGTTGCCATGGTTATGCATCTTTCGATGATGCCACATGTAGTTATGAATGGTTCTACACAGTTTTGGCAAATAAATAACTGCCTGTCTTATTCATACATCATCTCGCGAACAGACACTATACCTCCGACTTCATGTTTACAAATAATTGATAAAGAATTAATTAGTTACTTCAGCTATAACAACATCTTGGGACATCGTGATTATCGCAACCATTAAATAAATAAAAGAAAAATAATATTCATTATGATAATGATAATAATTATATGATAATCATTATGATAATCTCCAGTGCAGTGAAACAGACACTGTCTGATGATGTTACAACACATGTAAATTCGCGTACAATTCATGAAAGACTAGGGCTTGAAATGTTATTTGTCTTTTCACTTCTTGTTTTAAGCCGCACCGAACTATGTTTTATTATAATCATAGTGTGTATGTTTGCATGCTTTTACATGACACGAAACAAACAAAATTGCCGCAATAAATTATCAAAATTAACAGAGAAATTGGCACAATATCTACATCATATTTATATATCAAGACATTGTTTGAATACATTCTTGACACATAAATGCGTATATTGCTAAACATCAATTCATCATTAATTCATGTTAACAGGAAGGAACGAAGAATCGAATAAACTGATAAATAGATATCAAAGAGATAAATGGTAAAATATTTTGATCTATCATGTAATGCCAGTTTGATAATTTGAAACTCAAAGTTCACCAGAACTATACTATCCTTGAAAGTTTTGGATTTTAAATATTTCAAACTAACTGTATCACCGAGTGTATCACCTTGTTAGTGTATCTCCGTGTTATTATTTATCATAATAGAATGGCGATATGATAATCACTGAATATGCAAGGATGCCTAAACTGGTGACACAAATTATTCAAAATATCATGGAAATATCGCCATACCTATTTATTAAGACAATGCCAACAATGTGGTATACGTGTATATGTGCCCCGTTAAATTCCAAGAAAATTCCCGATTAACATACATGTACATGGTACGTATTGTCTACCTTTAATCATTTACAGACAACCCCAGCAGTACTAGTATTATTTGATATGCAGAGTAACCTCTTTAATCCGGACACCATAGTTCCCATTGAAATCGCCCGGATTACAGGTTTCCGGATTAACCAAATATGACACGTATTTCTATCTCTTTAATCATTTATAGGCGACCCCAGCAGTATTAGTCTGGTAAGCGGGGTGTCCGGTATATAAGGGTTCCACTGAATATGTATTCGCTTTAACGGGTGCTACTGTGCCCCACTCATCTAGGCCGCACTGATAGGATGGGGTTTTGTAAAGCTCTGTATTTGAGAAATTCCAACTTAGGTACATATTCAGACTCTGGTAACGGCACATGTGTCTCCTCGCTGCTGGAAAGAAAATAATTCGTCGTAATATCCGAGGCCCGCATGCACAAAACTGTCGTAGTTATAAGGTTATTGTGCGTGAAGTGGATTATTAAGTAGTTGCGAGTGAAGCAGTGGCAGACAAGACGTAAGAGAGAGACATGGACCCTTTCAGTCAGAAAATTACGATCAATGACGATCCTATTTCCGTTCATTTAGACATGTACAATAGTCTTGGTACAAGCACAGCGCCTTACTAATCCAATCTATATAAGGTATCATCGGAGACGCTGCAAATAGTTGTGAGTTGCGTCCCTTGCTGTCGGGGCCCATGGTATGTGAATTACGACAATTGTAACGTTATTGTAGCTTTGAGGAACGTTGCCAAGGCTCTGCTTTTGTTGGCTCAAATTCAGGATCGGCCCGATTATGATCCTTGGCGGGCATCACCAAAGTGATAAACTATCCAACCCCATTAAGCTGAGAACGAGAACGGATACGGTTCTGACAAGCCAAGGATCATATCGGGAAAAAGTCTGGATTTGCATCAACAAGCATCGGATCCTGACACGTCTAAGGGGCGGAAGTTTGCACTGCGAATCGCGGCGCTAAGACCAGTTGGCGACCCATGTCAGTCTATACCACCAAGATGATTGGGTGAGAACGAGAACAGGTTCTCTACAGTACATGTGGCCATGTACGCCCTGGGTCCAAACAATGTCCTTTTTGTATGAACGCATAACTTACCTCAGCGTATTTTGAAATGCATAGCATTGAAATATTTAAAAGGAAAGTACCAACCTTGACTTTCTCACTCGAAAGCCCCGAGGGGTCACAAAGGGGTCATGATGAAATAATATATTCTGTTCTTTTCAGTGAAACATTGAGGAACAATGACTGGTCAGTACTTATAACAGACCCATGTGGCTGACATCATGGCACTTGTGACTAAAACAAACACTTTACATTAACGCTTGGCAGAACGTAATAAAACAGATATTTCCAAAATAAATGCGACAAGCATATCTGGCATTAGGGTTACGATATTATTTGATACACCGAAAGCAACCGACCATTTCATCTTCCGGAGGATAATAATAATAATAATAATAACAATAATAATAGGTTCATCATAAGGTATTATTATTATTATTATTATTTTTTTTTTTTTTTTTTTTTTTTTTTATTATTTATATTCTGGCCTCCAATGAAGATGAAATGGCGGCCCCTAAAAGCCACGGATATAAATGATATAACAATTATACATGTTAAGTAGCATGCATGTTACTGTGAAAGTAGTTTAACTATTGCCGGCCTGCCATCCTTTTCACACTCTTGCCAAATATTTCCCTTCGCCATGAAGCAGGGTCGAAAAGATGTGATATGACAGTCAACTTGAGAACATGTTTCATAACAAACGTATCTTTCAAAAAAATAGGGTGAGGTGATTTTTTCATAAAATGATTTACGGTTAACAGATCAAACAAACTTGGTTAGGCTTGTTATTTTAATTTTGAAATACTTGATAGACAAAATGTGATAGGTCAAGGCTATTGATGCAATATATTGAGTTGCTACGTTCACAGTTTAACAGAAGAGGCATTGTGCAATGCAGAGACAGAGTCAATATAAACAAAGGCCCATTGTGTCTACCTTAACTATGACTCAATTTTCAAACGTTTCGTTGTTTCGGTGATATCCCCCGTGGGACCCCAGTACACCCTGCTTGGTTTATGAACTGACTGAACTGAGGGTTGTGAGTGAGTGTGTGACTTCGATTTTACGCCGCTTTTAGCAATATTCCACCAAAATCACGGCGGGGGACACCAGAAATGGGCTTCACACATTGTACCCATGTCGGGAATCAAACCCGAGTCTTCGGCATGACGAGCGAACGCTTTAACCATTAGGCTACCCAAATGCCCATTCTGAGGGTTGTGATTTTACAACGTGTTATTCGTTCGTTATTCGTGTTATGCCTTCGTACCCAAACGGCATGATTCGATGCTCATGTTATCAACCACTGGTTTGCCAGGTCAAGGTGTGATAATTTACAGGCCGCGACAATATAGCTCGAATACTCACGTGTCACTTAAAACAATATTCACTCACGGTTACAGTGTTACCAGGTCCATAATGTCTTCATAATAAATATTATATGTAAACGCACCCCTTCTCAACTTAGCATTAAACACAGTCTGCAGACTACAATGCGCCTTTGTAGATACAACATTGATTCGGGCATACAATAACATCATGCACGCTACAACAGAGGCATATAGGCGTGGGGGTAACAAAGGAGATACACATGGTACGTCAAAGTAGACTAGTGACGCTGACGAAAGTGGACCTTGGTAGTTTTATTCTGAATATGTCATGAGTGAGTTCAAATTTAACGTCACATCGGCATTATTTCAGCCATATACCGACATATGTCATGGATGCAACTGAACCTCTTCATGATACTCGAGTCTCCGGATCAAAATTGTCATGCATAAACAAGTTTAAATTTCATATTGGTAATTCCGTTTTACTTGGATGTCGAAAGATCGAAATCTTAGTGTAAATACTTGTGTATTTCGGTGTAAATATAAATATTATTTTCCAAGTTGTTGTAAACTTAGTCTGTTGCTGTTTATGTAAATTAAAACAATGGTTTCCTTGGAGTAATAGATGAATATTTAACTCTAACTGCAACTGCAACTTTCTCGAAATTCGATGCCTCTTTTTAAATAATGAATAAATGACAATGTCACTAATCTAAATCATAATCAGGGGGAGGTAAATTCGGCACTGACCCGTCAGTCGGCTTCCTTTGTCTCGCATGTAACGAGTCTCGCCCCCATTCATTGGCTGGTTCAAAATCTGCGTCATTTCCCGATGTTGGATGAGGTACCTGATTGGCTGGTTGCCGAGCAGACGGCAGTTTTGGCGGGTCTTCTTCTTTCGTAAACAAATACTCTCTGCGAGTCTCGTCCGGGGAGGGAATGACCACGTCTTCAGTGCGGGAACTTCTTGTTTCACTGAATGTAAATTCTTTTTCTGTGTTCCCTGGCACTCGTTCACTATTACCATTTCGCGGCACTTTGTTAGCTGACGCTGTTGGACTTTCTTCACCAAGGGTCATCGTTGCATACTGGAAGTACATCGCATATCACAACATGTCAATCATAATACCGCCTCCATGTCTATTAACAAGTAGCATACATGCATTCTGTTCGCTAGTCTGTCTCACAGGCCCTTAACCATATTATTTACCTTCCGCCCAGTCTACATACTGTAATTCTACACCTCTAAATGAAGCAAGTCTAGATTTTCAACAGGTTCAGGTCTGAATATCCCTCCTGAATGGGGCTCCTCTTCAATTTAAATAGAGTTGTTTGTTTCCATCAAAATTATGAATTTTCAGAGACTAACCGTTAGTTTATTGTTCGCCTACTCAAACGAACACAAAATATTTTTGTACAGAAAACGAAAAACTTTAGGTTGTGACATTTGCCACGATCTAGGGTGCTATAACCACCCTTCTCTAAGCATCCAGAATACTATTATATTTATCGTGGCATCCAGTTGAAGAACTCTTCAGTCATACCAGCGTACACAGCTGGTACACGTAGATTAGACTGGGATTTCCACATACAATGCATGATCATGCATGGTCGTTAGCCTAGGGCTAAATAATAAGTCATTCGTTGTAAAAATGAATAAAAAATGAATAAACATAAAATGGTACCAGATGAAATTTCATAGCATCAGGAATACCACTTAACAGGGCTCGACTTTCGGCGTACCAAAAGCACAGACTTAAATTGTATTCTACTTGGCACAGTAAACTATACACTGCCACCCCCGTTGATCCGGACGGTGGCGTTCCCAGCAATCCTGATTAAAGGGGTCCGGACTAAAGCAGTTTTAGTGTATTGCATGGTGCGTGTGAATCCTCAGATGAATATATAGTTTAATCACTGTTTGCGTGTTCAAGGCTCCGGGCTCCGGGCTCCGGGCTCTGGGTCTGATGTCATATTACAGGTCGAGTCATAGTTCCAAAATCTACTTCACTTACATCTAGTGTCCTATATTCGAGGCTCAATGGGAATGCGTTTGGATCTATACTATCGAAATTAACTGTTGTGTGAGTGAGTGAGTGACTATGGTTTTACGCCGCTTTTAGCAATATTCCAGCAATATGTCGACGGGGGACACCAGACATGGGCTTCACATTGTACCCATGTACCCATGTCTTCGGCGTGACGAGCGAACGCTTTACCACTAGGCTACCCGACCGCCCCAATTAACTGTTGAACATTACGATGATAATATATCTTATAAATGACGACACACCTTTTAATTACATAAACACACATTATATATAATATTGTGTAAATAACCCGATAATCTTTATAGGTTGAAATAGTTTCGAATTCTAAAATACTCCATTTAAGGACAGATGGGTACGTACCGCTTCTCCTTGACTTTTCTGCGCCCTGAAACATGAGTAAACAGACTGTAACGTGTCGGTCATGGTTACATATACACCAAGGGAAGACATGCCAGGTGATAAGGTATACGAGTACTGATTACTTAGAGAATAACCAATGAGGTAAGCCCAGGAGTTTTGCTAATTCACTCGACTTGAGTTGATATATCTGATATCAAAGCCACGCGGGTGATTCTATCAATTTATCAGTTTGTGATGTCACGAACTGTGGATGACCTCATATCGTATTGTCTCAACATTGTTTGTTTGTTATTTAACACCGCACTAAGCACTATTCCAGCTATATAAATAATCGAATCAGAACCAGACAATCCAGTGATTGACATCATGACCATCGATCCTCGCAATTGCATCAACCAAGTCAGCGATCCTGACCCCCCGATCCCGTTTATCGCCTCTTACGACAAGCATAGTCGCCTGTTACGACAAGCATGGCTTGCTGAAGACCTATTCTGACCCGGATCTTCGCGGGTCGTCTGAACAATGAACTATTGAGACATCATATCGCTTCAACTGACCAGTCAGTATTGAAAAGTTAAATACACATTTGCAAATATCTAAAAGTTATTACAAGCGATCCTTTAACCTTACGTGTAATATGATGTTTACTGCGGCGTTCAGTAATAATAATCATCATCAAAATCTGTGAGTATTTGTGTTGTTGGCATCTGGTGTGTTGTCTGCCGTGCTGAATAATACGTTCTCTTCGTACTACGATATTTTATACCAAACACATGTTTTCTTCGTAGCTGTTCCGCTAACTCTTTGCATACGTATACACAAGTACATATCCGAAGCGTTGGACTATCTGGCGTTCAGCCAAGGTTGATTTTATCGATAACTGACAAGTAGTTTGTTTGCTCCTAGTTCGAAATGTGTGTATGACATAGTGAAAGTAGAATGAGAGTTATCAAATACAAACCACCAACTGATTAATATATTTCAGTGAAGTATTTCTGTTATGTAATAGAAAGGATGTCAGCTTAACGTGATCATATTTGAACAGCGAATTCTGGCACGAGTAAGGGACATAACTCCACATAGCCAGTTGTTGGGAAAGCCGTACCAATACCCTCGGTAATGTGTAAACTGAAATTTATTAAACTTACCACAACGGCACCCTTTGATTTCGGAAACCTGAAACGACAAGTTCATTGATTAGCAGCTTGTTGAAATAAGTTCTTGTGAAAGTACACATTACAGCGTTTGCCTTGCTTCAGAATAAACAGATAATGTATGGATTTTTAAGTGAGTGAGTTAAAATTAACGTCGCATTGGTAATTGTTCAGTCATATACACTCTTCAAGAAAAGAAACGCACAGGTAGATGTTTAGTAAATGTATTGCACCTAATAAAGTCGATATATTTGATTTAATATCATGGATACAAATATGAAATGTTGGAGCTCGATAGTCACATGTTGTCGTTGTACAAAGGCATTAAAAACTGTTCATTGTCATGTCACATAAGGCCACAAGGTTGCGCTGAACTCAGTTTCTCGTGTGACCGCCCCGGGCAGCAATCACGGCTCTGCATCTCCTGGGCACTGACGAGATAAGTGTACGAATTCTGTCCTCCGAAATTCTGCGCCATTCTGCTTGTAACGCGTTGGCAAGTTGTGGGAGCGTCTGCGGCGTGTTCTGACGTTGACGTACACTTCGAGCGAGTTCATACCAGATGTCTTAGATTGGGTTGAGATCTGGAGATCTCGACGGCCAGGGCAAGACGTTGATGTTGGCATTATGTGGGTATTCTACCTCGACACGAGCTGTGTGCGGTGGAGGGTTGGCCTGATGAAACAGCTCCCTCTGGCGGTCAGTGATTGGAAGAAGGTGAGGTTAAAGAATTGGATTCATGTAGCGATATGCTATCAAATTTCCCTGAACCACAACCAAGTCAGATCTCGTGGTGTAGGATTTGGCTCGCCACACAATGACGCTACCGCTACCGAAATTGTCGAATTCACGTACACGATGTGGGGTAAAACGCTCATTTCGACGACGATAAACACATTGTCTTCCATCTCGCATGTGAAGAAGAAATCGTGATTCTTCGCTAAACCACACTCGTTTCCAGTTTCTCAAATTCCAAGGCTGTAAGGTATGGCACCAACGCAAGCGACGCTATCGATGGATCTGTTGCAAAACAGGGACGATAACTGGTCTTCTGGATCGGATTCCAGCCTCGCGAAGATAGTTCCTGACAGTCTGGTCATATATCCTCCTCAAACCAGGGATGCGTCCTCCATTGCGATGACGTAAGTGGAACAGTCGAATGTAGCGATCCTGTGCAGGGGTGGTAACTCTTGGTCGGCCGGTTCTCGGACGGTCTGCAGTGGAATTGAACTGTGTGGATAGGTCACAATGGCGGCAAATGGTGCTGTGGTGGACGTTGAAGTGGCGTGCAACAGAAGACTGCGATTCCCTTCTTTAGATACATCCTATGGCGATGTTCCGATCGGCAGCGTTGAGTCTCGGCATTTTCGAATTTGAAAAATGTTGACAATTGAACGACAAGTTATTGGAGTATGCTTGCCTTTTTATAGCCACTACCACGAGCTACGAATGCCATAACTTGCACGTGCATTTTGCTTTACTGTTTTCCTCCATGACATTTTTTTTGACAAGAGTGAAAAAAATGCCGTTTGAGACATTGCAAATCAACAATGGCTGCGTTTTGACGCACCGTTTGTCGAACATCAGGCCACCAACATTTTCTAATAACATATATCCAATTTAAATGCCGGATTTTTTGTGTAGTCAGGTTCAATGAACTACATACTACCTGTAGGTTTCTTTTTTGAAGTGTGTATGTGCCAGTTTAAGATGGAAACCCTGCTCAGACACAGTATACTGACTCCAAACTAACCAGTTATTGTTTTATCCCCTTAATGTCGAGCGCCAGGCAGGGTAACAACAAGTACCATCTTTTAATGCCTTTTGGTATGACGCTCTCCGCGAAGACGCTCTATCCACCAGACCACGGAGGGGGTCCAACAACTTGACAACTACTGGCTATTACATGTGCAGAGTTTTCATCAGACCCGTGAAGATCCGGTGTAGAATAGATCTTCAGCAACCCATGCTTGCCGTAAAAGGCGACTACGCTTGTCGTAAAAGGCGACTAACGGGATCGGGTGGTCAGGCTCGCTGACTTGGTTGATGCATGTCATCGATCCCAGTTGCGTGGATCGATGCTCATGATGTCAATCACTGGATTGTCTGGCCCAAACTCGATTATTTACAGACCGCCGTCATAAAGCTGGAATATTGCTGAATGCGGCGTTAAACAACAAACCAAATCAAAATCATTGGAAAAATATATAATATCTTTTTCATTATGCAATTAGTCGGTCAAATATGAAAAACACGGAGGCGTTTCAGGAAAATAGCGACGACAAGAAGACATTTCATTGAAAAATAAATATCATCATACATCGAATTATATATGAGAGCGAATTGTGAACCATTAAAACTAAAGACGTTACGTCCCTGAATGCACGTGTTGTTACCTACCTTTCGGTTGTGCGACATCGTATACGACTGCCCCCGGCTGCTGTGTGTAGGGCCCGTTATAAGTGTGTGCTCTCACAGTTACGCTGGTGCCGTCTTGTTTCGGGGGGCTTGCAGGGGCCCTCTCCTCGATATACCGCGGCCTGTAGGAAGCCATGTGGCGGGTGGGCATTGTGGGGAAATGGTAGAGGTCCCGTGTGGGCGGGGCTATCGGGTAGGGCATCGAACGGGAAACCGTGGGGACAGAGCCGTTACGAACGTGGCCGTTGATCAGAGGATCTTGCTGGCTTGTTTTGTCATCAGATATTCCTCGGCATCTCCTACAGTAGAACAGTTAGTTAGCTTACCTGGAAACGTCACTACCATTATCTTAATTATCGGTATATGATAATTTAAATTTTGTGAATAGGTGAAATAAAAATAATTGCTACATATAAATCAATAAAGATATTTCTTGAAACGTATTTGAGAAACTCAGTCGTCGTAGCCATTTTCATATAACATGTTTCGATTATTTCAATTTTCTGGACCCACAAGATTTGAATAAACTGCAGGGCAAACGAAAGTATTCACTTGAAAATTGGATTTGATAAAAAAACAACTTACAAATGTGATCAGAACGTTACCAGACTGAATGTATGGTATCTGTGAACCCACTCAGCCACTCATGACAATACCTGCTTTACACGTGCACTGCTCATTACATCCCCATCGAATAACCATTTTTTGTTTGTTTCATTTTTAGCCACCCTCAAACATGCGTGTTTACTTTGTGTATATGTCGTTGCAAAGACATTAAAATCATAATCAAGTGAAATAATACCACAAGAATGTGGGATATCATTCAATTCTTAGTTATTAGTGAGTGGGTATGATTTTACGCCGCTTTTAGCAATATTCCAGCAATATCACGGCGGGGGACACCAGAAATGGGCTTCACACATTGAACCCGGGTCTTCGGCGTGACGAGCGAACGCTTTAACCACTAGGCTACCCGACCGCCCCTATTGATTTAATAAGTTTTCAAACAAATATATCAATGATGCAGATATGCAGTACACGATACAGTATTAGAGAGAGAAATTTAATGTACATAAATAAGTTCAATCCAGTCTTAATTTAGTAACTTTGAACTACATTTACCTTAATTACACTGTCTACATTCTCCAGACTTAATAACTGTACAGACATTAAAAACTGATGGTACCTTCAAAGTAATAATGGTATATTTTTTCATATAAAAGTAAATATTCGTCTTCCACACTTCAATGGAGTACAGTAAAGTACGGTTATAACGAACTCAAAGGGACTACTAATTTTAGTTCGTTATAACCGTAGTTCGTTATAAGCATATATACAGCATAACTAAAGCAAATAGTCGGTACCCAAAAAGCAAGTTCGTTATATCCGTCAGTTCGTTATAAGCGTGTTCGTTATAACCGTAGTTTACTGTATTTGTACATAAGATCCCTACCTGCATGTATAGTAGATAGCGACAATGGTGATGAGTAGCATGACGCCGCAGATGATGCTTGCAGCCACAACGCCTCCGAGAGTATCTTCCATCTTCACTTAGTATCACGTCACGCCTGGAACATAGGCGGGTTAAACTGGGAATAAGGACATAACTTGTGCACAAGGTTCCAATCTCATTAAAATCAGATCTTAGTTCTCGCTATGCTAAACAAACATCTGAGGACATCCCATAAAGGGTCACTCAGATATATGTCCTTCATGCAGTTGGTTAAAATCCAACTCACTCTATCACTCACTAATATATATTGCGTACAAGACGTGCAGAAACCGACGTCATATGGTGTAGTTATATTAAGTGTTGTCCGTAATTAAAGCACCTGGGAAATGTTATGTTCGCCACTGCACCTGAAAGGCGCGGGGTTGATGCACATTTTCTTTAAAATACAAACTTTATGCGAATTCTCCGAAACGGGAACGCCATAAGCAGAACTTAAAGGTAACTCTGAATAGATTTCGCTTCCCTGTTGGATACCTGATACACAGGTAATACAATATGGCTATTCACGTTGACTGGTTCCACGCTCCAGTTGCGCGGTGTCAGTTGTAAGTTGTATTTTGCACGATGACAACCCCTACACTACACATAAAGCGCCTTTTCACAGACGACGGGACAAAATACATGGGAAGGCAAAATTATGCTTAGGCTGTAGAGAATGCAGTCAAGGTGCATATTCGTGTAGTTTTACCTGTCGCGTTACCTCCTTGCATGTGATGGTCTGATTCAGATCTTTTGTAGCCATGGTTATCAACATACAAAACTCCCTATATTTTCATTTCCCCCATGAAAATACGTGTAGAGTTTAAGCTAACATCCACTTGAGATTTTCCTTAATGATCTGTTTGTGTTGTTTGTTTGTTTGTTTGTTTGTTATTTAACTGGACCGCCTCCGTGGTCTTGTGGTAGAGCGTCCGCCCGGAGAGCGGAAGGTCCAGGGTTCGATCCCGGGCCGCGTCATACAAAAAGACGTTAAAAGATGGTACTTGTTGTTACCCTGTCTGGCGCTCGGCATTAAGGGGCTAAAACAAGGACTGGTCGGCTCGGAGTCAGTATACTGTGTCTGAGTGGGGTATTCATGTTAAACTGCGGCATGGTATCTCAGTGAGCTAGCACTATAAATCGGCATCAGTCCGGACTAGTACAAGCAGCCACACACACACATACACGTGCATGCACGTCGCTATATAAGTGCAATAATCTTGGACGCGACGTTAAACCCAATTTCACCTGTTATTTAACTGCGCACTCAGCAATATTGCAGTTATTTGACCAAGGCCTGTAAATAATCGAGTCAGAACCTGAAACACAAGTAATCGATATTATGAGCCACAATCTACACCGATGACACGCAAGTCACCGAGCCTGACCACAATCCGGGTTAGAATAGGCCTTTAGCAACCCATTCTTGCCGTAAAAAGCGACTATGCTTGTCGTAAAAGGCGACTAACGGGATTGAGTGGTCAGGCTGCTGACTTGGTTGATGCAAGTCACCGTATGCCAATTGCGTAGATCGATGCTCATGATGTCGATCTCGGGATTGTCTGGTCCAGAGTCGATTATTTACAACCGCCGTCATATAGCTGCAATATTGCTAAGTGCAGAGTTAACAACACACAAACAAACAAATGTTAAGGTGTACCAAGACACTCCATCACGCCCATGTAAGACCACCCCTACAGAGCAGGCCTACCCTAGCACCCCCACCCCCGACCACACAGAGAATGAGACTCCGCTGAGGCAGACACACAAGGGTACCCACCGACCGTGAAACGTCAGGTTGTCGTGCATGATTGTCGGTCGGTCTGCTCATTACGGTGAGATATTTGTATTTCGTTAAGGTCTCATAAACAAGAAATCTATTTTAAAACTAGCAGAACAACGTAAAAAAAGGTTTAATCTCAAGTATAAACTGTCGGTCGACGCCAAAATGATATGAAGTAACCCATTTTGTACATGTTAGTGCCACGGGGGTCGCACATCGCTCTGATTTGTCAGCACCCGTGCTCGTGTCTGCTGTTAGACATTCATCACTTCTGACTTTCCTCCCGCAACAGCTTTAAACTCACTCACTCACTCACTCACTCACTCACTCACTCACCCACATTCACTCATTGTAACGTGACGCTCATATAGTTTCATGCTCATTAATGTACTTTGGTGTAATATTCAGAAGCAGTAACCCCTCAGCTCTGCTTAAAATATAGAAAGGTTATTGTGACTGCGGGTCTAATACTAGATATATCGCCTAGCTTGAACATACGGGACAGGATTAAAAATTTACCAAATTTGAATTTTTTTTAATTGACTGAGATAGTATAATACTGTTGTTAATGGCATGCATGTTATATACCACGATGCTTATACCATTCTTATACCACCTCGGAAATATCACATTTATTTCTGGATTATACAGAAGACAATACTGTGAAGGCGAAGAATATAACAGAAGATTTAACGCCACGTTCAATATAAATTCTTCGAGTGAGTGAGTGAGTGTTTCTTCGTGGCTTTTAGCAATATTCCAGCATGATGGAAATAGAACCCGACCTTCAACGTGACGAGCGAAAGCTTTAACCACATGGCTACCCTACGCCTGCACTAGAAATGCGAGTTTTTGTATGTGATATGTTTCTATTATCAAACTCTATGATAACAGTTTGCTACTTCGCGAGGCACACCAAGAGCGGTTTTCGAATAGCACTGATGTGGAGACTCGAACTAGGGTCTGGTTTATCACGATGGAACGCACTAACCAGTGAACTACCTGTCCATTGCAGGTCTAGTTTTACCAGCATCACTGTTATCTCGGTGGCAGCTGTCATGTCGATATCACATTTCCATCATGTCGATTTCAGCCTGTCGTGCAGCGCGTCAATCACAACACGGGAGATTGCCAGGACCCGGATGTTGAACGCACCTTCCTTCGGAGGCGGCAAATAAAAATCAATAGTTGACAGATCGAGTATTATGATGTCATCGACGCCACACCAACATCACAGCGGGAAAACGCACCGGACAGCAGTATCATAGGTCAAGGTCATGCTGCTACCTTGGTCTAGTGGCTAGAGCGCCTGCCCGGGAAGTGAAAGATCAGTGGTTACATACCCCGGCCGCGTCATGAAAAAAGACAATAAAAGATGGCACTTATTGCCTGGCGCTCGGCATTCAGGACATAACACAAGGACTGGTGGGCTTGGGATCAGTATACTGTATCTGAGTGGGATATCCACGTTGAACTGCGACATGGTGTGTCAGCGGGTTAGCACTACAAAACACACACACACACACACACACACACACACACACACACACATTATTTCATTATTTGGGGCCGATGGGATAGCCTGTTGTTAAAGCGTTCGCTCATCACGCCGAAGACCTATTTTTGGTGTCCCCCTCGTAATCATCAACATCAGTTGTATTAGCCTTTTCCAACTGCTGAGGATTGTGCGCTGAAATAATGGTAAATATTTCATGCGAACAAGGATTGATTGCTTCTTGATTCGCCATAACATTGTAAATACACACCACCCTCCAGTGAGCTCCAACTTCATGAAGAGTGTTTGTGTGCCGGGAGCGTGAGAGAGGTCGCATTAAACATTACACAGGGTCTCACTCGTACCACACGGACTGATATCTGTCATGCCCTACTTGGATTAGACTAACATCTAGTCTCTGAAATGAACACATCTTACATAAAAAAAACAGTTGTTCAGTTATCTTAATAAAGATAAAATAAAAAGGAGCCCAGTGACTCTCTTCATTTTCAGATTTCCTGATACCGCAGTGATCTAGACTTGCCAAACATTATAGACTTGCATGGGCTGTATTTGATATATATTTGTATCAGGGTCTGTAAGACAGACTATACTTGGATGGAAACCTTTAGAATCGGACATAGACTAGAGGAAACTACCAATGCAACAGCAGAATAGACTTAATTCCGAGAAGAATCTTCAGTACCAGATTCTTCCTCTCAAAATACAATTGTTCTACAATATCATTGGTTATGTCCCTGACATAAGATATTGGATAAGCGTACGATATCCAAATGTAATATTGTACAGTTCCTGGTCAGATTTAGCACAGCACCATGGCACATTCCCCACCTGATGTACCTGAAGGAAAGGAAGAGAATAAATGGATGTCAACTTCTTTATTATGAGGAACACAACGTTTCGGAGTATATGCTTACTCCTTCATCAGGTGAATGATGAAGGAGTAAGCATATACTCCGAAACGTTGTTTTCCTCATAATAAAGAAGTTGACATCCATATATTCTCTTACTTATGTGTATCACTTCTAAATGCCTTTCAAAGAACTACCTGAAGGAAGCTTTGAAAGATGTCATTAACGTGAACAACCTTGATCCGAAATCCTTTAAACAAATTAATCCGTTTATCACCCCTGGCAAAGCCTGGTAATTCGCCAAAGGAAATTCAGCCCTGAAGCAAGCTGCAACCTTCGTGATCCAGGCATGTGCAGTCTGGAGACCTGGGAAAGTCCGGGATGTGTGTGACAGGATGAACTTTGTCTTCCAAGACCTGTTCGTTCATGTGTGTATCTGGCGACACAGAGTGAGTGGGTGAGTGAGTGAGTTGGGTTTAACGCCACTTTTAACAGTATTCCAGTTATATCACGGCGTGTCAGCTTAAGGTGGGAGGAAAGCCCGAAGTGATGCAGGTCTCAGACGTTTTGCCACTTCGGTGAAACCCACGAGCACGGGTATGGTGCTGACAAACCTAGAAACATAAACGGGGCTATGGGCGGATACAGCTTTTTTTAAAAGGGGGGTGCACAATTAAGATCTATTTATTGTCTTTGGTGGTAATTTATACAGAAATAAAGATTTTTTTCGAAAAATTTTTTTAAGAAAAACCTTTAAAAAACTCGACCCCCCCCCCCCCCTTCTGTATCCGCCCATGGGGGCGAACCGGGATTCGAACCACACAACAATAGGTTTCTGGCGTGCCCAAGGGACGCAACTCTGCACAGCGAATCGCGGCGCCTTAGACGAGTGGGCCACCCGTGCCCCCGCGGCGACACAGAGACAA